GTGTGCGTGTGTGTTGTTAGTATATTATGTGTGTATATATATGTGTGGGTGGTGGGGGTTTGGGGGTCGTATGTATATATATATATATATATATATAAGTATACGTGTGTGTGAGGTTGCGTACATGTTTGTACATTGTATACATTCTGATCAGACTTGAATGCGCTTCTCCTCAAGACTAGGCTTAAATCTACGATTTCTCGTCCCATTTTATAGGATCTTCCGATTAATGCGTATTCTAAGAAGGCTTTTCAAGAACATCCTCTGGACACTCAGCGCCAGGTAACCCCTATGGAAACACACTAGTTGTACTTTGTCGTCATGCTTTTACATTGAACCATGGTCTTCATTTATTGTCTGTTTGCAACCTTGTCAGCTTGGAACAGTGATTTGACAGTGGAAGGTTCACTCATGTATTAGTTGAGTTGGTATAAGCTTCTAACATCTTGTTACTGTATGTTCGGACAACACGGCCGTGCAGCTGCTTGGCATATGCATCGTACAATCTGCTGTTTTTTTTGTTGTTGTTATTTTACCCTAAATGTGACAAACGACTATTCTATCTTGTCCCTAGATGCAATTACAGCTGGTGCAGGCGCAGCAAAAGCAATTGCCGCAGTTAAGGCGTATTCCACCGGGATTTTATAAAAATGTCAAGAATGATAAGGGCAACACTCAGTACCGCCAGGAAAATATAATTCACGCCTTGGTATGTTTAGAAGCAGATGCACCCGTTGTATCTGCCAGGTATATCGTATATTTTGTTTGTTTTTTACATACGTGAGTGCACTACTCTCACCCTGGTCAGTCGAGAGACACATGAACAAATGAACACGCTCAGTGTATCGTATGAGAATGCTCAGTGTGTAGGTATATTGTGTTATCCACACCTTGGTACATCGATCGCCACAGGTAACAGTTACACTTACCGGGTATTGTATGCATTGTTCGGAGCACATGATACTGGTCCAAGTCCTTTTAACTCGATGAACACTTGTTCAATTACACATACACCTATCCTGATTGCGCATACCACTCTGTACTTCTGCTGATATGTTGTAAAGGGGAGGTTTCCTCGTACCGATAAACCAGCAGACACTTGTAGCAAGTGAACTTGCCAGGTGCATAATATACATTGCTCGGTGTATACATGTATAGAGTATCATTTTAATTCGAGAACCTCATGTGACGATTGCACGTTATTTAAGTAAAATTTGTTTGTAGTATGCATCATATAGTTTGTTCCGTGTCGATTAATAGTTTTTTACTGCCGGGTATGCTGAGAACCACTTGTATCAATCTTCCAAGCCAAACTTGTCATACATTTTGCTGTGCTCATAAACATCTCACATCTTTGATTCGTCCGCTGATTCTCAACACTGGTTCAAATCCATCTTAGAATTGCGCTGGGGAAGAGTTCACAGACACGCGCGGGATCACGTATGTCAGTGATGCGCCATATGTGTTAGGAGGAGCTGAGCCAGAGGAAGCCAGTGGCCACTTTAGTGTATCGAGGGTAGCAGCCAAAGATCAGGAGTTGTACCATACATGCCAGCAAGCTGCGCAAGACGTAAGGTTCAAATTAACATCATATGTATTTTAGCGACTTACGCCTTCCGTGTTGTTTGCTGTCACCAATATCCCTTGTATTCAAATAGTTTCAATTTTATAGGTTTCAACAGACTCTAGCTTTGTGTTTGTTTCTCCGGTTTTCACATCATATGTCTTTGCTGGCTCCAACATGTTATCGCTTTACCGGCTTCAGCATTCTGTGTATTTTACCGACCTTAACATCATACGTATTTGGCTGATGTCAACATCCCAAGTATGGCTTAAATGTCTATCTATCTTACAGTTTTCAACATCCTACGTATTTTACTGGTGTCCAAACCCTGTTTGCAATTAGCCTTCTTCCTATCATCTACTTGTTTTCGACATCCTATTCATTTTGCTAGCTTGTAGCTCTTAGTGTCTTTTGAAAGTTGTTGAATATTTGTCAACCAATCTCTAACTCCGACTATATATGTACTACCTCAATGCGTAGGGTATAGGTGCACTGATTTACCGGCTTCCGATTCCCAAGGATGGTGACTTCGTAGCTATTTTGAAATTCGCAAACATCCTGAATGTGCGTAGCTCAGAACCACTAGTTTTCGATATTATCATGAACAACGTTCTCTTGGTTGGAGATCTCGATGTAAATGAACTGGCAGGGGTGGCCACGGCGCATCACGAGTACATACCCTTTACAGTAAGTCCGAAAACTATATTGGATTAATGTTCACAAATTCTGTGGCGTTCATGTTCCTACACAGAGAGAATGTGTTCGACACAGCTGCTGCGCAATGGAATCACGTATAAATGCTATGTATATTCAATGACCTTAAGTCCTAAATATATTCAATTACGTATATGTGCTAAGTAAATATAGTCACGTATAAATGCGAAGTATATTCAGTCACGTATAAATGCCAAGTATGTTCTGTTTTATTATATATATATATATATGCTATAGGTTAGCGACGGGAGGAGATATTTCAAACTGGCGGACGGCCAGAAATATCCAATGGCAGACAAAGGCGTCATAGAGATTGAGTTGCGACGCTTTGACTATGCTGGCGGCTGCGATGCGTGTGAGGATGACTCGGATTATCCCTTTTTAAATACTGCTGATGACAGTGCGAGTACGCAGGACGATGAGAAATCAGGCGAAAAACTCGCTCCTTATATCTGTAGCTTAGTTATATTCCACGGAAAATTAGAAGGTGTGTCGATTCCAACATGAGCTCGGATGTGTTAAGCAATCCCTCTATTTATAGTGATATGTCTATTAGTTTTACAAAAAGGTCGTATTGGTCCGATATACTGCTTCGAGTAGTAAATCAATTATGCCTTTTAAACCGCAGATGTTCCCAAGTTGATCGTTCCCTTCAAGCTTCAACCGAACACGAAGAACTACTGGCTGGAAAATCTCGAGTGGTTTGAGGCGGATATAGGAAGGTGTGTCGCGGCAATTGTTACGCCTTGTACCAGATACTAACTTTATTCGTCACAGCAGCACCATTGTTGATCTCTTATTGCTGTAAACAATCCCTATACAGGTACATGAATCATGAATCTGCCACGATTTACGAGGATCTGAGCGTGGAGGAGGAGAATTTAGTAGCTATCAAGAGTATTTGCTTGTACCCAGTCGGAGATTGTGTAATATGATGATACTCCTGATCCGGAGACGGTAGAGCATTTTTTGCCACAACTGTGATACAGAGGACACGCAGAGGACCGATAGAAGGACGGTTAGAACATGGAGTGCCTCGTACATTTCAAGCATCAGCCTTGTCGTGAACTTAAGACAGTTAAGCACGCCGTATGAAGATAACGAGATACAATTGAGACGCCAGTTTATTTGGGCGCAACTGATATCATAATTTTACATATTATAGAGAGTCTATCGCCTTAGAAGGTCACTTCGTATATCCGGGCGCACCTCTCACCCGAACCGGTGGCAATTATACGGTCATCTTGCGAGATATCGCAACTCGTGATCGCAGCGGGTCCAGTTTTCTGTACGATCACGATTGATTAAGATGGTAGTATAGAGTGAGTATCAGCACCACAATCCAGCTGCGTAATCGGCTGTGTAGTTATGAAGTGAACGTTACTGTTTTGTATGAGGTACACACGAGCCTTTAGTATAGTGGCAATCCACACAGCGAAAGCTGGTTACAGGACACCGACGGTGCATCGATGCAGAAGACTTACCTGGAACATGCAGTTACCGTAGGGTGCTCGCCAAACATTCATAGTGCTACTCTTATCGGTTGATATAAACCAAGGACTCTGTGGGATGGCGATAGTACATTCGAATATTAATTTCAACAATTGATATATGAAGAAAAATGACTGTTAATAAATGCAATGCAGTCAAAGGTTATCTGCACAAGCTTTGAGTAGTAGTAGTGATCCTTTCCCTCCCCCTTCCCCTCCCCAATTACGTAAGGGGACAATTGAGAAAGGTGTGTGCGCAGATTATACTTCCGTACCAACTACGAAGATATTCAGATAGTACAACCAACAACTAGACTACAGAACATAGTTATTACAAAACTAAAGCACAGCGATTGGATCACAGAGAACTCCAAGCAGATGTACAGTCGCTCCAGTCTACAAATCGAAAACAATAAATTCAATTGAAGTTTGTGATGACGAGCATGTATATTACTTTCTGGTATGACAATATTGTAAGCACATGCGTGCCTGACTTATACATATCAATACACATGCGGTTAATCTGAATAGTCTTGTCATATGATATTGAGCAGAAATACTTACCTCACAAATTATTGCACCAACTGTAACAATACAATTAATAATACCTTAGATAGTATAGAAAAATAACATTTATACTTGTGTATATCTATATAAAT